TTGGCAGCAAAATCAAGGTTATTTAAACTACATTATATTAAAAGGAATTAAAGAGTTATTTTTTGAGGTTATTTTGTAATCTCCACTAGATTATTAGTTTCTTGACATTAAGTGCTGCCTATATATTTCTGTTTCTTGCCACTTGGTTAAACCTGACATTTTTTGAGTGAATAACTATGTAAACAGCAAGGTTATTTGATTTTTTTTTGTATAACTAAATTGCAATGTAAGTATTAGAAGCAATGTTCCTAATATTGCTTTAAAAGAACGACAACAACAACAACAAAAAATAGAATAGAAACTCAAAGTGACAATGTGTGTGTGTGTGTGTGTGTGTATGGGGGGATTTAAAGATTATCTTTAGGTTAAATTCCAAAAATGTTTTCACATCAGTTTATTTGTTTTCATAGAGTAGGCAGAATTATCTTATAGATACTAGAGTACAGTATATGAATTTTTGTCTTATTTTTATTTTTTTCAGTGCTGGGATTGAACCTAACTCATAGATGCTAGTTGTTGATGGACCTTTATTTTATTCATTTATTTATATGTGGTGCTGAGAATCAAACCCAGTGCCTCACATATGCTAGGCAAGCGCTCTACCACTGAGCTACAACCCCAGCCCCCAAATCTCTGAATTCTTATTTTTAATATTGGATATATTGTTAGTATATGTTGGGATCTTCAGTGGAGATTCTAAAGATGTCATTAGCTCCTCATTAAAGGCCTTACCTGATATTATAGCAACTATTCAGGTTTCTGTTATTTATGAACTTTAAATTTTTATGCATGCACTTACTGTGGACTGGATTCCTAATGAACAGACAGGTAAGGAAAAATTTCTTTCTATGTGTTGCTGCTTTATTCTCTCTTTTTCATTCTCTTTTTCTTTTTTCATTTAGTCATCATTTTTATGCAGTTCCTTTTGCATTTTTATCTGTATTTTTAGGACAAATCTATAATTAGAATAACAGTTTCCATCCTCAATTTGTGTAAGAGATAAGAACATGTCCCTTTTTAGAGAAAAAAAAAGCACCTGGGGACTGACAAGTATGAAGCACTAAGAGGCAATTGAAACTAAACATTTGGAGTAGTATTTTTGAGAATTTATTTTTTTCTCCAATAAAAATGACCTGATTCAAGACCATTTATTTATTTATTTATTTATTTATCTGTGCTGGGGACTGAATCCAGGACACTCATTCATACTAGACAAGTGTTCTACCACTCAACTGTACTCTCAGCCCCAAGGTCATTTATTGAATAAGGTTATTCAAACAAAAATATTGCAAACCAACACATTAGCTTTTATTTTTTTTGTAAGTTTGGAGATTTAAAAATTTTTTTAGAATTTACATTTTGCTTCCATTTAAACTAAGGAATATAGAGCAGAAGTATTGACAAGAAGCCTAACTTTGATACTGGATATAGGATTAGAAGGTAAAGAATTATGATTTGTTTTATTTTATGAGCCAGATGTAGTAGAGAATGGAGAAAATATGTGAAGAAAGATTCTTTTGGTTATATGGACTGGTGAAATACCATTTTAGGGGACAAAATATTTTCTTCTAAATTGTAAACTGAAGATTTCCAAAATTGGGAGACTTATAATAAATTAGCTAAATACTATAATAAACACTGAGAATTGACTATTATAATTTCAGATAAATTAGTTCATTCTTTATATTCTTAACAGTTTAAAGTTTTTGAGATTTCAGGACACAATACAATATGAATACCCAGTATAAATTGATTTCAAAATTATATTTCAAAATACAATAAACCACTGCTTTCACATAAATGTATCAAGTGGGAAAACAAAACAAAATACAGAAACACCAGAATCATCTAAGGAAAATAACATGAAACATAATTGTGATTTTTTTAAACCTTTATTTATTTATTTATTTATTTTTATATGGTGCTGAGGATCGAACCCAGTGCCTTACACATGTGAGGCAAGCGCCCTATTACTGAGCTACCACCCCAGCCCAATTGTGATTCTTTTCATATTTTTTTGCCTCATTAGTGCATTCATTATGAAACTTTAAATATGTTTATGAATTTAGCTTTTCTCTTTAGAGTATTGATCTTTCTTAATTGAAAGGGTGTATGTCCATTATAAAAAAATAAAGGATATCAGTGACAACAAATACAACTCAATTCCAAAATGAGCAAAGGTGTTGAATTGTATTTCTCCAACAAAGACATACAAATGGCCAAGAATCACACAAAAGGATACTTAGCAGCATTGCTGGGGAAATGCAAATCAAAACCACATGAAATACCACTTCACACACATTAGGATGAGTATTTATTTTTAATGGAAAATAACAGTTGTTGGTGAGGATGTAGAATAATTGAACCCCTGGTATTTTGCTGGTGGAAAAGTAAATGGCGCAGCCACGTAGAAAAGAGTTTGGTGGTTGTTAGGTGGTGATGGTTACATGGATTGCAAATGACCACTGAATCATACATTTAAAAAGGGTCAAAATGGTGATTTTATGTTATTTATGTTTTACCATGTAAGACTGCAAAAAAAAAGTAATAAAGCAAACTACAAATTGTTTTACACCCAACTTTCCAGAAATAACTTTTGTCAACATTTGCTAGTTATTCTAATACATTATTCAGTTTTAAACATTTGTTTTGAGATTGAGATTTTAGAAACTCCATTTAAAAGAGATGGATAATACTATAAACAATATTCATGAGCATTAGGTTAGCTTTCTGTGAGCTATGACCCAAGAGTGAACAGGAGCCCTCCTACCCAGAGTTAACCAACCTGCGTGGGATCCACACTTCAATGGTGGCTTTATAGAAGATGATCTAATCTGGCCAACTTGGATATAAAAATGGAGACCAATGAAACTGGAAACTAGAAAAAGCCACAGATCACATCTTAAATTTATTGGTGATAAATGCGGTTGTTTTCTGCTTATGTTATTTGGTAGTACTGTTTCTTTAATTGTGGTCTGATCTTAGATGTTATTATAGTTATTATAAATGTTTCTTTTTATTCTATTCAATGTTTCTGAATAGAACACAAAAGAGTATATTGGTGATATTTACTTTTATATATCAGTGGGATATATTTTTAAAGAAAAGATGTAATAACATCAAGTTTAATAAACTGGTGTAAATTAAGTAAAGTTTAGAAAATCAAGGGCACTTTGTTCCATTTAGAATTCTGTCATTACCTTTCTTGTAACCTTAGGCTCAAACAGCATCATTAAAGCAGAAAATTGTAATTGACTATTTCTCAGGCTTTATAACAAGGCAAGGTTGATATAAAGAGCTGGAATAGCCAGCAAAATAACCAAAATGCAATTATTATTGATCTCCCTCTCTCCTTAATTTTCAATACATATTATTTATTTAATAATGATCTATAAAGAATGTTTAAATTCTAGCCTTGCACTACCATTTACTAATTGTGTGACAATTTACTGCTCTCAGCTTTAATTTCCTATCCTATCAGTAAAACAGACATAGTAATAGGGCCTATTTCATAGGTTTGTTATGAGGATTAAGTGAATTAATATGGAAAAAAGTCCTTAGAACAATGTATGCATATAAGTGCTGGATAGCTATAAGCTACTTTCATTATGGTTGTATAACAGCAGTGATGCTGATATACCTATCATGTATTCAATCATAGGGTGAATGCTATGAAAGCTGGTAATACGTTATACTTATCTAAAGGAATTTACTTGGAGGTAGTAGTACTCTTCATGAGTACAAGATCCAAGCAAAATGGCCCTCCAAGCTGCCCATGCTCTGAGATAGATCATGATAAAATTTCTGTAATAAACTATAAATTAAGTTGGAATAAGAGAAAAGACTAAATGGAAGGCTTCATTGAGAATAAAGGACGTGGGGACTTCCCCCTCCTGTTTCCTGCCTATGAGGTACTAGACATTACACCATATACAACTTTTTCTGCATTCCTCATGACAACCCTATCAGGTCACATAGCTATTTATGAGTTGAATCAGATTTTCAATTTTTTAAAAAATGTTTTCATTGGTGCATTATAGTTATACATAATAGTGAGGTTCATTTTTACATAATCATAAATGCACAGGACACTTTGCTCATTCTTAGTCCCCAGTACTTCCCCTTTCCCTTCTCTCCTCCCTCCCCCTTATCCCCTTCTTTTACACTAGCGGTCTTCTATTTATTTATTCTTTTCTTAACTGGTAAAAGTGGAATTCATTGTGATGTATTCGTACATGCATATAGCATAATTTGCTCAATTTCATTACACAGTTATTCCTCTTACCCACCCCCCCTTCCCCTCAATCCCCTTCCTCTACTGTTCATCTTTTGTTTTGAGATTCAAACTCTAACTCCAAAGCCTTTCTTATTTCCATGCTGTGCTGCTGCTTAATAATTATAGTTTGTATGATTTTGTGTCTTGGCAGGTCAGATAATTCTAAATATCCCATTAGCTTTCAGTGGATAATTTTTTTGTTTCCACTGATTTTTACCCTTGATTTTCTTGTCTGAATATGTGTTATGTCAGCTTTCTGTCAGTATGAAAAATGCTTAACAAAACTCAACACAAAGGAAGAAAGATTTATTTTGGCTCACAGTTTAAAGGTTTCAGTGCACGATCACTTGGCTACAGTTTCTGGGCTGTGGTAGGGCAGAACATCATGGCAGGGAGCACTTGGTGGAGCAAAATTGCTGGATTCATGGCAGCCAGGAAGGAGAAAGGGAAAGAGGGAGGGAGGGAGATAGGAACTGATGAAAGGGAAGACAAAAGACACTTCAAGGACATGCCCTCAGGGATCTGCCCAAATCCTAGTCTCCACCACCTCCCAGCAGTGCTGTGCTAGCTGCAGACCCAACTTTAACCCAGGAACCTCTGGGGGCCATTCCAGAGCCACACTGTAACATTCATATGTGTATACACACACACACACACACACACTAAATTGTGTTTGTTTTTTAATTTAAATTTTGCTGATTCTGTGTTTCATAATTTAACTCAGGTGTAATGTCTTTGCTGAGGCCTCTTCTTCTGGATGTGGTCCCAACAATTCAACAGACTGCTGCTTTGGCTCTTGGGAGACTGGCCAATTATAATGATGACTTAGCAGAAGCAGTTGTGAAGGGCGACATTCTTCCACAGCTTGTTTATTCACTGGCAGAACAGAATGTAAGATTAAAAAAAAACAAACTCATATGCATTTTGTTTTAGATTTTAAAAATGTTGGTCGAGTGGGCAGAGTTGTGAGCTTATAGTAGGTGTTTGAATTATCTGGGTATTAGTACAACCTAAAATTCTCTGAATTGCACATAATAATATCTTTAGTGTACTTAGCTTTGGGGCTGATAAACAGCTTTTCTCCATTAAGTTAATATAAGGAGACAATGATTTAGTTCTTTTATTTTAGGGAATCATACATAAAGCAATATTTCTGTATATAAGACTTTAAACAAAGCTATAGGATTTGTATTAGGGAAGAGTATATATAGCTCCTGTCACCTGTCAGTGATTCTTACATGCAAGTGGAATCTGGTTAGTGTTGAAAGAGTGAAAGACAGTTTTGGAGCAAAGGCTAGAGAAAGCAAGCAGAAGGAGGAAGAATGTGTTCAATGGAAGATTTTTTTTTTTTAATTTTTTATTGTTGGTTGTTCAATGGAAGATTTGACGAAGCCTTTTTTTTTTTTTTTTTTTTTTTTTTTTACACTTATGTAAGGTAGCATGTTAACTCTTTTAAGCACTATCTAAAAGTGCCCTAATTTCCCCCACTTCTATCTGGCACTACTCTGTTTCTATACAGTTTCATCTATTTGTTTTCCACAATTGTTAAGATAGGTAGGCTCTTGCATTCCACTCTACTAGTTTATTATAGCCTAGGTATATATCTTTGTTGGAATCTTTAAGATTAAATCCTTATTTGTGTCATAAAAATACAAACAATCCTGGAAAATGGGCAAAAGGATATGACTAGATATTTCTCCAAAGAATATCTACAAAATGGCTAACAAATATATTAAAAGATACTCAAAAGCATTAGTTATTAGGAAATACAAATAAAAATCACAATAAGACATAATTTTCCACCTACTAGGATGGCCATAATAAAACATTAAAAATGGAAAATTACAAGTGTTGGTGAAGGTACAGAGAAATTGGAACCTAGTATGTTGCTGGTGGAAATGTAAAATGGTGCAGCTGCTGTGAAAAAGTTTGTCAGGTCTGCAATAGTAAAACATTGTTACTCTACGCCTGAGCAGTTTTCCTCCTGTTATATATCCAAAGGAAATGAAAACAGGTTCTCAAACAGAACTTACATATAAATGTTCAGAGTAGCATTATTTACAACAGCCAAAAGGAAGAAGCAACCCAAAGTCGTCAACAAATAAATGGATAAACAAAATGTTACATATCCATACAATGGACTTTTATTCAGTCATAAAAAGGAATAAAGTGCTGATAAATGCTACAACATGTATGAACCTTAAACACATTCTGTCAAGTGAAAGGCCACATATAGTATGATCCCATTTATATGAAATATCCAGAATATTCAAATCCATAGAGACAGACACATATTGGTGGTGTTATGCCAGATTCGTGGGACCCCAATAGACCTCCAGGAGCCGAATCCGATGCAATCACACAAGAGTCTTTATTGCAAGCTGGAGCCTGGACTCACAACCGTTCCCGACACAGCGGGGAGTGAGTCCTGGTCCTTTGTTCAGTGAGATTTTATAGGTTTTGGGGGTACTCTATGTGTCACAACATCACACAGCAAATCATTCCATACCGTGGGAAAATCAAACAACAACTCTTAACATTTATTAGCACATTCAATGGCGGGAACAAGTTGGGTAGGGGTGATTGGTTAGTACAAGAGGGGGGTTTGTTTGAATTGATTGGTTTAGGCCACAAGGGGTGTATGTGCTAGACTACATGGTTTCCCAACATGTTATCAACCACCATAAACTGCTTGGGGGTCATCTGGCATCCCAGGTATTTTCCCTGTCTCATGCTGATTGGAGGTTGCTAGGGGGGTTGCTATGGGTCCTCACCTGGCCTAACTGAGTCAGGTATACCTGGCACCGCAGACCTCTCCTGTTATTTACAGACAAACAACTCAGCAGGGTGGGTATATACCTAGGAATGCTCTGTGGGTTTTTCCAAGGACAAGGGTCACGTCCCCTGCCTTGGACAGGCTTTGCTCTGAGGTAGAGGCTGATTTCTCAAAAATGGAGCCACATTAGTTTCTCAGTGGCTGCTAGAGACTGGGGGAAGAATGGGTATAGGGAGTGGCTGCTTAATTTATAAGGGGTTTCTTGTAGGGGTACTGAAAATATTCTGGAACTAGATAGTAGTGATGGTTGTACAACATTATGAATGCATTAAATGTCACCAAATTTTACATTTCAAAATTGTTAAAATGGCAAATTTTACAATACATATATTTTTATCAGAATTTGAAAACCCTAATTGTACAAAAATTTTGACTTTTTTTTTTTTTTTCTGGTACTGGGGATTGAATTCAGGACCTCACACATGCTAGGCGAGTGCTCTATTACTGAGCTACATGCTTAATCCTCGTTTTTTGTTATGGTTGTTAGTTTTTGTTTTTAATAGATTTGAGAGTCATTTACTAATGCCCCCACAAGGAATCACAGAAACTTAATTTTCTACTGGCGCAGTGGCACATGCTTGTAATCCCAGTGGCTTGGGAGGCTGGGACAGGAGGATCTTGAGTTCAAAGCGAGCCTTAGCAACTTAGTGAGGTACTAAGCAACTCAATGAGACTCTGTCTCTAAATAAAATACAAAATAGGGCTGGATATGTGGCTCAGTGGTTGAGTGCCCCTGAGTTCAATTCCCAGTATCAAAAAAAAAAAAAAAAGAAGAAGAAACTTAATTTTTCTTGTGGATGTTTCTTTTTCTTTTTCATCAAATAGAGTTTCTTCCTCCTTGATTCTGTTCTTTCCTTTGAGGTCAGGGGTCTGTGCTTCTATATCCCACATAGAAGTTTCTCAGTAGAAATTTTCTAAAAGTGAATGAATGTCTATTAGGTGTAAAGAGACAGAAAATACTAGGCATAAAAGTGAGGAAGCAGTGAGAATCAAAGCATTATTCATTCATATGCTTCTGTCTCTTACCAGTCTTGAAGTCATTTCTCAAAGGATATTTAATCTCCTTTTTATGAAGCACAAAGTCCTGTGTATTTTCTCTCTCTTTCTCTTTTAAAGCCAATTCTTTTGGTAAGGAATAGGAAAGAGGAACATTAGGAATTTACATGAAGTAAAAAGAAGAGAGAATTAGATCAGAACATATGAATTATAGGCACTGCATTAGTAATAATTATTGATACCTATAATTTACCTGTGAATTTGATGATTCAGCAGAATCAAAAGTCAAATTAGCTTAATGACAAGAAATATATCATCATTATTTCCCCATGATTATAAGAAAATGATCTATAGAAACCTACTTTAAAATTCTACTCTAATATTTATAATAAAGTAGTAGGAATTGGGTTACTGCCATAAGAAACTAAATATAACTTATAATTGAAATATCAGTACTAACAATGTATTTCTTATATTCATAGTATATGTTAATTGCATAGATGTAATCTGTTAAAATAATACTTAATGTGTTTTCTTTCCTGCCTATAATTTGCATTATATCAGTATTTTAGCCTAAGAGAAGGCTTTCAGAGCAGGTGCTGTAATCACCTAGTCCCTTTTTAGCAGTCACTTAAAGAAACAGAAACATAGAATATAAAGTAGGAGATTAATTGTGTTTTGTTTTGTTTTGCAGCACTGGGATTGAACCCAGGGTCTTGCACATGCTAGGCAAGCACTTTACCACTGAGCTACATCCCCAACCACTTAATTGGGTTTTATTAATAAAGGAATTATGACAACATCATTGTATCATTTTTTTAACCATAAAACAAGAGAATTATAGCCAAATGTTTTTATATATTGAATTGTTTTAGTAATATGAAGAGAAACATGTTAGTTTTATATTTTAGTTTCAGTTTCTTATTCCTTAATTAGATGAATTTATACAGGAAATATAAACATGAAGCAATATTTAAAAGTCATATAATAACAATTTGCTTTTATATTTAAGAAAACATTTATAAAGGGGACAAATAACTAATATTCCATTCTTTAACTCGTTATTTGTGAGGAGAAGTTTGAAAATAGATAATGAATTATTTTTCTGTTTGTTGATTGGTAAGTGCATCTTGGAATATGGTTGTTATTTCAGGGTAACTTGGGACACCAGAAGAGTTAGTGGAGGTTATGAAAGGCCCGCCTTGCTTAGAGACTGAGGAGAAGTAAAGGAAATGAGTTAGTTGGTTTAGTAACTCATGCTAACAATCTAAAAGCTCCCTTGGGTCACACAGTGCCTTTCAGTGTAATGCAGACACATAAAATCTCATTGTTTTATGAACTTACAGAGAGCACAATTTTATATTTTATTTTGTACAATTTCAAATTATATATTTTAGAGAAAAGATATGAAATATAATGTAAGACTTACCTTGTTTTTAGTTTAGTTACTGAACAGAAACAATGATGAAACAACAAATAATCAAAATGATTTTGCGGTTTTTTCATCTTTTGTTCTCAAAAGCTATTGATTTTACTTATATTAATAATATTTTTATATCATATGACTACCATATTTATATTTATGACTACCATAGATTTTGGATATGTAAGTGCTCAATTCCTTTTGGGTTTGGTCTCTTTTGCCCTGGTAGCGATTCTACAAGAAAGCAGCAGCCTTTGTGTTGCGGGCAGTTGGTAAACATTCCCCTCAGCTGGCTCAGGCCATTGTGGACTGCGGAGCACTGGATACACTGGTGATATGCCTGGAAGATTTCGACCCTGGAGTCAAAGAGGCTGCAGCCTGGGCACTTGGATATATTGCAAGACATAATGCAGGTATTATAACTTAAATAGGATGATGAATTTAGGTTCATTAGGTAAATCTGGTTTTTCTTAGTAAACCATAGATAGGGGCTTTAAGGACATATTTATATCATCAATTTTGAAGGATAGCCAAGTTGTTTGGATCACATTCTCACAAAGTACTATATATTTCTATCTTTAGCAGAAGGGGAATTTGAAGTGGGGAGGAGAAAGATGCGAAGGGCAGCAGGGTGTGAGGAGTGGAGCTGATTCTCAAAGGCCTTGGTAAATAGGTTCAGTTACAAAGATTATGGTGGTTTGTCACCCTTCAAGGAGTCATTGGTTTTCACCTTCATTCATGACAGAGCATTCCAAATCAGCCAGGAGCTATCTCACTTGAGTGAGTGATGTGAAAAGATACGGATATAACTTTCTACACTATGTTTGTATTCTGCTCATGTTGGGCAGGAAGGAGGAGGTAGAGAAGGAGGGGCATCTTCTCTTATAAACTGGTATCTCAGTGAAGTCAAGGAGGAATGGGGCCTCTTGGGAGAAGATTGTGCTGCCTCAACTGATTGATAAGAAACACATAGGGAACATAATCGCCCCACTACTTTATAGAAGTTGCTTATGAACAAATAACATAAGAAGAAAATACATTTTCAACAAACATAAATTAAAACCATCAATTTTGCTAATAATAAAAAAATGCATCAATGAGCTATCTTTTCCATCTACTATTATTGTGAGGGTCAGGGGAGTAAAGTAGCAATGCAGCTAAGTAGTTAAGAGGACTTTGAGTTTGAGTCCAACTATTACCACTTAGGTGCGACCTTGGACATAGCTTTTAAACTTTCTGAACCTTAACTTCCTCATCTGCAAAAGGGTAACCAATAATAGTTACTTCATAGATTTGTTGTGAGGATGATGAAATAATACCTGTAAAGTGCTTAGACCAGCACTTGGCAAGTGGCAAATACTCAGTAAATGTAAGATATTCATATTAACACTGAAAATTGGAGAGGACATTATAGCATTTATGACATTTAGCTGGGTGCCATAACCCCAGCTACTTGGGAGAGGTTGCAAGTACTAGGCCAGCCTGGGCATTTTAATGAGAACTTTTCTCAAAGTAAAATAATACAATAATGTTTATGACATCGGAAAAGAAACTACAAATTGTATAATCTCATGGAAAGCAGTTTGACAAAACAGAATCTAAGTCATGAAAGAGCTCATGCTTACCCTGAAAAGTCTGCTTTGGAAATTCATCCTCAGGATGAAATTCCACAGAATGAACAAGTGTAGTCATGAAAACATTATTGTACATTATTTGTAATATCAAAATACCTCAAACATTTGACAGAAATTTAGTGTTTAAATTATAGTAATCTACTTAATGGAATCTCATGCAACAAAGTACAAAGGTAATTATGTTCCCTATATGGTAACACAGAGAGTGATTATAATGTTAAAAAGAATGAAATTATATATTACAATTATAATATAAAAATAAAATTTTGTGTGGATATAAATTACAAAGAAATAAAAGATTGTATTACTAACATGGTGACATTAAGGATGGTCTTTCAGATTTTTGAATGTCTGTGTAGGTAATAAAATAATAACTATTATCTATTGAGTAATTACCATGTGCCTGGCTATAAAATTCAGAAACATTATCTCATTTTGATCACTACCCTTGGGTAGGCATCACTCTCACATAATGTAGAGAGGATGCCTGAACTTACGTGAATGGTGGAACCAGAATTTGGGTCTACATCTGTGTGACTTCCAAGCCATGTTAACTACTATACCCTACAGCTGCACTAAATACTTCCTGAAAGAACATTAAAGAAAAAACTTTCAGAAACAGGAAGAGGTTCTCCACAATTATATTTAATTTGATTCTTATAATGGTGGTACTACTAGAGACAAAATAAAAATAAAAAGTAGAAAACTAAGTTGAGAAATAAAACTATTTTTATACTAGAATGATTCAGAAGTAACATATTAAAATTCTTCCTTTTAATATCTAAAGTTTGGTTTTCCAAGTAGTTTTACCTTAGACTATTGTTTAGTACATGTTTAATGAGAAAACTAAGGCAGTGTTTTAAATCAGAAGCTGGTTATCACAGGAAACTACATAAGTGGATTTAGCAAGTTTTTTGATATGTCAGAGGGATATATTATACATTGTGACATAAGTATTTCAGAATGGTTCAAAAGAGCTTTGAGGGACAGCTGTGCAGATACACTGTCAGGCAGGTGCCCAGAGATAACCTTTTCATCCCTCTCTTTTGTTGAATCTGGGTGAAATGATTATAGTTCATAAATAGGATCTGTCTTAGGGATCCCATTCCAATTTCTTGCTATAATCTGACTCCCACATGGAATTCCCACTGTAATTTCAATATTTCACAGTAGTTAGGGGCCTGGGACCCAGAAACTCCCCAAAGAGATTACTGCATAGATTTCTCAGAAAAAAAGGGAATTACTATCTAGTAAGCTATAGAAGAAGTCATCATTCACATCCAAATCAGTGAAAATAGAGGATTTTCCTCCACTAACGTGATTTATTTCTCAATGATTTCCTGAAACTGGAAAAGATTGAGATTAATGGGAGAACATTCACTCAGTGTTTTCTTCTTAATATTAGTAGTAAAATGTTTGATCAGACAATTTAAGATCTTAAATATTTAGATTTTAAATGGAGATGCAAAATAAATCAAACTATATCTTATTTAAGGGCAAAAGAAGGAAAAAGTATATATATAGGAAACAAAAATATATTTACAGTAGAAGAAGAGAGAAACACTGGACATTATTTGCATTATTTGGCTTTGGCTTATTTGAAAATTATAATTTTTAAAACTTATTTCTAGGGCTGGGGTTGTAGCTCATTGGTAGAGTGCTTTTCTATCATGTGTGAGGCACTGGGTTTGATCCTCAGCACCACATAAAAATGAAATAAATAAAGGTATTGTGGCCATCTACAACTAAAAAACAATTTTTTAAAAAGTTATTTTCGGGTATAGATTTATAAAACACTTTACTGACCACCAAAAGAAATGATGTTTTGGGGTTTGTTTGTTTTTGTCTCCATATAAAAAATATTAAATTTTTATGATCAAATCATCAGTTATTGAATACACGTGATTGTATTTACCTCTCAATTTGAAGATAAATAAGCTTTTCCCTTGTATTTTCCCTGTTCTTAGATTAATTATTTCTCTTTTTCCTTCTCGCTACTCTTTCCCATTCTGCATGATTGTTCTAACCAGTGTCAAGTCTCTCACTCTTCCTAAGGAATAGTCTTGCTTTTGGTGATAAAGGGTGTCCAAAGAGTCTGTGTTGACAGTGGGATTGTGCAGCCTCCCTAGCTGCTGCAGCTGCTGAGAGGCAGGTCCAGGGAGGCTCATGGAGAAGGGGGGTATGTGGGCTGTTCTTTCCTGCTCCCCTACCCTGGGGGCAGGGCAGTCTCTCTCAGACGTGGGGTCTGTTAAGCCAGCAGCTCTGGGGAGGAGCACTTCCAATGACCTTCATTGCATAGGATGGTGGCAATTAAGAGTAGGAGGGACTGAGGTGAGAGCACAGCCTTGCTGAAAGTGTGAAGGAGAAACCATCCAGGTGTTTTGGGTGAATGCTCTTCCATATTTGGGCTCAAAAAGAAGTTTAAGTGTTTATTTTTGGAGCTAACTCTGGCTGTTCTCACACCTGGCAAAGAGGGGTACATTTGGTTAGATATTCTACAACTTTCAAATTATTGATATAAGTGTCACAGATAGGAAGTTGGACTGGAGAGGCTGGAAGATTTATTCTGATCACAGAGCAGTTTACGGTGGAACTATTTTACAACTTCTCAAAACTTCCAAGATTCTTCCTTTCTATAAAGGGAAAATGAACAAGAGCTCATCATTCTTTTAAAACTCCTAGTCATATCTGAAAATCATGCCAGATACTTCTGTTTTTAGTACCTGATGGCTGATTTCCACATGTGTGACTGTTCTTTCTCTGTAGACCTGATTTATGTCCCGCTCAGCAGCAGTTAGGAGACAAGCTTTTCCACAACCAGTGAAAAGCAGTGCTCACAAAGACCCGCTGATGTGGACTGTACAGAAACACCGGGTAGATTATATCCTGTTTACTAAAATAGATAATGTAAGGAAGGAATCAAAACAGCTGGCCAGCCTGATTGTTTTCTGTCTTACATTGAATAATAAAATAAGAAAAGGAGAAGAGAATTTTAAAATTAGAATTCTTGCAAATATTCTTCTTGTGCTACTTACATGCAAATGTCATAGCCTAAATAGTGTAGAACAGCTGAGGAAGCAATAATTTTTTAAAAAAACTTCACATTTATTTGTGGTGAGAACACCTGAAAGATATTCTCTTAGCAATTTTCAAAGCAATTAAAGTTTAAAAACCCAAAATATTCATGATAAATATATGAAGTAAGAGCTAGGGACTTTGTTCTTTATGTCTTTGTGTGAGAAAGGATGGGGAGAAGGAGACTAGCACCTAGTAATTAAAATTTCATGATGATGCAGGAGACTCTCCTTGGGAGGTTGAGGCCACAGGGTTGCTTGAACCCATGAGTTTGAGAGCAGTGTGAGCAACAGAGCAAGGCCCTGACTTAAAAACCAAAAATAATTAAAGTCTATTTGGAGACCACCCAGACAACTGTCTTTATTGTGCCAGTAAATATTAACATTGATTTCTGAAACATCTTTATTTTTTTTTAGTTTAAAAAATAATCTCATTTTGGAGGGGTTGTAGAACACATAAATATAGGGTCAAATGAGGTATATAATATGAAACATATCACATTTATTTGATACAACACTTATTTTCACAAGTATATTTTCTATTTAGGTGTTAATGAAAAAAAAGGATAAAGTGAAAATAAATGTCTCTCGTATGTTTTTTGGCCTAGAGGCCAAATGTGTTAAACCAAATAACAGTTTAATTATAACCTTGTTTACTCAGTGGTTATCTGATTTGTTGGTTATTTTCAGGGTTCAGTTTCTATG